CACCGCGCCCCGAAACCGCCAGGGGGCGTACGCGGCCGCGCAGGGGCGGAGTTGCTTTAAATCGCGGCGCCCCGCGCTTCCAGGGTTCAGTCCCCAGCCCGCGAACAGCCTGCGCTTCTCCCCTCTGACACCAGCGCCAGCTCCCACCGGACCCGGACCAGATCCAGACCCCTCCAGCGCACAGACAGCAGGAGTCCCGCGATCTCTTGCTCGGCACGGGCTCCGCCACCTCCGGCAGCTCCCGGGTGCGCACCTGCGAACCCTCCGCCTCCTGCACCTGCCACCCAGCGCCCAGCGACCATGGCCAACGCGGGGCTGCAGCTGCTGGGCTTCATCCTGGGCTTCCTCGGCTGGATTGGCTCCATCGTCAGCACTGCCCTGCCTCAGTGGAAGATTTACTCCTACGCCAGCGACAACATTGTGACCGCTCAGGCCATCTACGAGGGGCTGTGGATGTCCTGCGTGTCCCAGAGCACCGGGCAGATCCAGTGCAAAGTCTTCGACTCCTTGCTCAATTTGCACAGTGAGTGCACCCCAGCCCCGCCGCCAGGCGCTGCTGATTGATTTCCCCCACCCCACCCCACCCCACCCCACCCCGTTATGGGGTAGGGGCTCTTCTGATGACCTGGTTGTCCGTCTGACCAAGTCTTCTGGGCACGCTCTGTGTTGTGAGGGAGAGAGCCATCTCTGAGGCAGAGACCCAGGCCTAAGCTCCAGCACTGCCTTTAACCCCCTGAGTGACCTTTTGCTGCCCAGCCCCCTGGTGTGGTTTCATTTTAAATTCCTCAGAGGGTGGGTGGAGATCGGGAGCTTGAAGGCCACACTCACACTTGAGCTCCTGAATGTCTTCTGGACTTCCTAAGACTCTGTGTAACTCAGGTCGGTAGGGCTGGAAGAAGACACGGATATGCCTGGGTTAGACAACCCGAAAACGTCAAATGAGGACACATTTATAAGTCAAATCTTTTCAATGACTTTTCATAAAAATATGTGAAGACCACATTCCTACTTATGTCCCATCTCGGTTTCTTGGACTCACGTTTGAGGTTGAATCTTTTGTTTCTATTGACTTTTAAGATCCAGTCAGTGCAGGGCAAATCCTTGCAAGAGTTTGAAGACTCCTTTTGAGGTTAACCCAGAGGTTGAGCTCTGAGCTCCGGGGTCTTTGGAATAGGCAGAGCGTACTGCGTTGTTTAAAGAAGGAAAAATGTTTTGATGCAGGGGGAAAGCATGAGAAGCAGAATGGTCCTGAGTAAGAGGGAAGAGTTTGGCAAAAGGGAAGATAGTAGAGTTGCTAAGGAAATAGTGGGTATGGGACTGGAGAGATGGAGGTTCCTATGTTTCCACCTTCCACAGAGGAGTTTCTTTGTGATCTGTGCTGGCTTCTCATTTGTCCCGTTGGAAAGAATAATGTAGAGAGAAGTATTTCAAAGGATGATGGTGAGAGGGATGACAGGATGGCTCCCCGTACCCCTTTTGAGTAAAATGTTTTCACTGCTTGTCAGGAAATCTTAAACCCCTGCCTTGGCGGTAACAACTGATGACTGCATGAGCTTCACTGATAAATCACATTAGCTGTTGTAGTCTTTGTATCTGTTATACTCTTTCACCTACTTGGAGGAAAGCTTTCTTGGTTTTTGCTTAGATAAACCAGGTGGTCGGCCCCTCCCGATTGTGTGCTGAGGGTGAGTAGTGTTGACACTCTTCAGGACCTGGCTTGGTTCACCTACTAGTGAGGAACAACCTTTCAGAGAGCAAGCTAAAAGCCATAAATTCAGTTACCAAACCTAGTCCAGATCTGTGAGGGCATCATCAACACTTGTACAGTTCAGCCAGTGTATATGGTGGTTTTGTGTGTTGTTGTTTCAGCTTTTCAAGGTTACCACATCAGAATTCTTCTATATTAAAATTAATCTATCAGTTTACTAACTGTGGGTTGCTTATTGACTTCCGGGGTTATATTTATACTTGCAAAGTGAATAATTGGTAAATAAGCATGGGATTGCCACATGGAAAGAGAAATACGTACAAGGAAACAGTGTCAGACATGTCTGGTACGCCTCATGGATTTGGCAGGTGGAACAGTTGCCAAGGGCCATTTTGGAGAGGTATCCTTGTCATTTCTGTCTCTCTAGTCAAAATAATTCATTTCCAACATGTTTAAGTTGGTTCCCTTTTAACTTCATGAAATGATCAAATGTAATAAGATCAATCCATGCTGTAAATACTCAATCAGAGCTTCCCTACACATGATTCTGTATTGAAGTGTTTTATTTCAATTTATTCTTCATTAATATGGTTACCCAATTTTTAAAAAATTGTGGTGGAAGTCACAATTACTCTCTGGTTTGACTCATACACATCAGAGACTCTTTCTTGTTTGTTTAATTTTTTTTTAACCGAGCACGGATTCTGTTTTCTGTTTTGGTTAAAGCCATGGTTTATCCAAGATGGTGCTATACTTTTCTCCTAGAACCAATTCACAGAGGCGGGAGTCTTCACTCACAAGTTCTCTCGCCTCACTGGCCAGTGACTCACCAGATGCCACTGGACAGAACCCAGAAAATCTCTCTCTGTTTCTCCACCTGAGTAGTGGTGCTCTCACCACCCACTTGATGAAGAACTGTGGGATGGTGATTCATGAGCTGGTTTTGGTCTACTTCTATAAGATCTAGAGATGAAAAGGGTTTTCTGTGTGTACATATGTAGTGTCTGTCATTAAATCTTACGTTTTTCTGAAATGCTTTCATATTTAAAAAGCTTTGGCTGTAGGTTTCTGGATATTGTGTCTTTGCCAGTGGAGCCATCTTAGTGTCCTAACAATGTAATGCAGGCATTTATCAAGGTCTAAGCACTAGACACATTAAATCTCTTATTTCCTTTCCTTACCTGGCATTGGTTGTAAAAAAATATGTGACCTTCATAAAAGTACAGAAAAGAATACATTATCCTTAAGCTGTATATAGAGTACACTGTATACATTATAAGAGACGAGATAACAGGATGGTTTCTTTTAGGTGGTTCCTGCCAAACAGTTTATGAAAACACAACTGAGAAATTTCCTGGAGAAATAAATGTTCCATTGTGTAATTTGGTTTTACAAGGGCTGAGACAATTCCCTTCCTTTCCCATTCCATGGGATGCTTGTTGACACAAACACAGCTGAAAGTTGGAATATACAAAGGCAAGTGCCACGTTTGATTTCAGTAGATGTTTCTTGATTAGCCCATACACCTTGAATATTTTGATCCAATTCTGCAACTTTTGGGCAGTGAGTTCCTGTTTCACGTGCTTAGTTAATTGCTTCTTTTTCCTTGACTGTAATAGCTAGAGCTGTTGAAAGACTGGGCTGTCATGGGTGGCTGCAAGTTGGGAGGTAACCAAGCAGAGAATAAGTAAGCATTTTGCAGAAATGTTGTTGGGAAGATCCAAGCACCAGACAAATGGGAGGTTAGGCTAGACTCTCTTTAAGTCTCATCTACCTCTGAGATTCTGTAATTTGTTTATAAGCTACTCTAGCCTGTTAAACTTGCTCTGCATGAACCCACATGTGTGTAGGTGTGCTTAATGAGTATTGGTTGTCATGAGGTTTCCCAGAATCTCACCGTGATGTCAGGCTCAACCAGAGAAGTGAAATCACTGACTTTGGTGATCTCTGAAGCATGGGCCCACTTATGTTTCCTCAGGCTGATGTAGACCTTGGAAACTTAGGGCTATTGGTGTTCTTGTCTTTCAAGAATTACTTCTGACTCTTGGAATGATGCAGGTTAAAACAAAAATCCAGACTTACAATAAGTGTTGTACATTTTCACTTTAAGTTTGCACTAAGCACCCATATGCATAAGGGTGAGCCATGTGACATTCTGGGCTCGAGATGTCTCCCCACTTATAAAGCAGCAGAGTAGGAAGAACACAGAGATGAATAGAAGATCCATTCCTCCATTCCACAAACATGAACTCAGCCCTTTTCCCATTCCTAGGGTTGTAACTGAGATGATTGCCAAGGTTTCTTCCACTAGCAGCATTCTTTTTTTTAACCAACTTCAGTGATTCAATAGGGCAACGCCAGTAGTTTATCTAGGGTTTCCTTGACTGGAGTGAGGAGTAAATGTTGAGAGATGACACAAAAGCATAAATTGAATCACGAGCCCAGTAAGAAAGGAACAAAAAGTTAGCCAAGTTCTCAGGATGTTCTAACAAGTGCTGAGGTCTTTCTCACACAGGGCCAGTTCAGTTACTGCTGCTGCTCATGTTCTGAAGTCACACTTAGTGGTTGCCAGCTCATGCACTAATTAAATGGAAATGCTAACAATGAGGACTATTGTGAACCTTGGAATGTCAGCAAAAATAAAAGACCTCAGAAGTGAAAATTCCCTAAAAGCATAGTTCTGTGATGCTGTGTGATGGGCTCGTTTCATTGCAAAGGAGAAAAGGGTATTTTTGTTCTAGTCCCTCAGTAATCAGTGCTTTTTTTATTTACCTAATGCGTATTAGTAACTACTGATACGAAGAAGGGCTGTGTGAGGATTCAGATATGCTTGAAATCTATTTTGTTTATGATACACAGTGTGTAGGGTAAGAATGCAGTCATATATATTATGGTTAGAGAGTACCATAAACTATGTTGAGCATTTACAGCAAATTCTGCTGCTTGTATAGCAAGTCTTTAAAGCTTTAGGGGGGAAAAAAATCCATGTACTTGTCTATGCTTGTCTGTCTACACTTAATGTTAACAGAACTGTAGTAGACCAGTTGTCCAACTCATTTCTTGTCTTATGAGTAGAGATCTTTGTAAGTATTTTTTTAATTATACTTCCAAGTTGAAAGTGGCGAGGACTCCTAGGGGGTCTGTAAGCCTAAGATTATCAGTCTGGCTAAGTATAATTAAAAGACTGCCTTCTCTGTTTACTGCTGAATAATGACAAGAAACAATAGTGCAACTTTATGAATGTTTGCTAACCAGATTGTCTAGTGACAACTTTAATTAATTATCATATTAGAAAAGGATCTGAAAATTTAAGAATGGATTATGTTTCCACTCGATTTGTTGCACTCAGACCAGTTCAAAGTTAATAGCAGAAAGCTGTATTCTATCTCTGTGGGCCAAAGTGCTATTTTCTAGCTTTCAAACTTGAACTATTTTACCCTTTGTCATTCTGCCAGGAAAAAAAAAAAAAAAGTTTATCTTGAAAGCTCTTCCAGTACATAAGTTTAAAATTAAATTGAATTAAGCAAAAACTGCAGATTTTTTTCCCTTTCTGCATGAGTTTATAGCTTTCAATGATCTAAATAAAGTCTAGCTTTAAGGGGGAAGATTTTTATATCCTCAGCCTCTCTAGAGAGGTGCTTTTTTTGCTGTTTCAAGAATTAAACTAAACAGAAAATTTGTTTACATGCCATATTATTACAGTTTTTGAAGGGTAAAGATTTTGCTCTAATTTAATTCCATTGAACATAAGCTGAATAATTCACATGATTTGGTAAATACAAGGCTATAGTGCTTTGCATGGAAATCTGAATAAATATCTGACTCCAGCCCTCCTTGAGGGTTCCATATTTTGATTTGTGACTTAAAAAGACTTGCACAAGACCTTAATTGGAAAGAATCCAGGCAGCTCCAGCTGAAAACTGTGCAATTTAGACCTGATCTGCACATAAATCCCTCATAATATGTAGCACAATCGTTGCTTACTGTGACTTCTAACCTGTCATTACCTCTGCCCGGCTAGTGAGTTTTCACATTGTTAAGCTTCTCGGCCCCTTTATGTGTGCACGTGCATATTATTTCTCGCCGAGTCTTACAGTTAGGAATGTATCCTGATGTCTTCTGTGAAATAAGGGGAGGTTTGTACTTGATGCCAATCGAATATTGTAGAGTAGAAGGAAACGTCACCCATCAAGGGGCTACCAGAATGTCGATGGAAAATACTGCTTGGCAGAAACACGTTTTTAAAATACATAAACTCCTTGATCTCTGTGGTTTCTATGATTCCCAAGTTTTATTGTGTCCATTTCGCCATTATTATTATTATTATTTTGCCTGTTAGACAGATAACATATTGTTCTATAAGGAAACAAAACAGGGTAGGGTCATTAGCAAGCAGCGAACAGAACACCTGTGCCCTCCTCCTCCTTCTCCTCCTCCTCCTTAGAAATGCTGGCAACGATAAGTGGTAAAATGGATGTGACATGTATCGAAGGCATTTTCTCTAAATTAAAGGGGAAAACTTGACAGATTACAGTTGGGAGTACTGGTCACTCCAGGTGCAGGTGAAGCTGGAGTAGTGTGGACGTGCTTCTTCCTTGCCTGGGAGCAGAGGTTTTAGGCAAGCCCGATTCATGAGTCTGAAGCCTAGGGGACGCCTTGTGAAGGATCCTCAGGGCTCCATGCCCCATCCTGCTGGGGTGGTGGGCTGCTGTTTGCACATGGCGAGCACATCAGCGTGCCTAAGATACAGCGAGTTACAGCATGGGGCCCTGTACCTTGAATGCAGTGGAAAATTGGAGGGAGAGAAGGGAAAGCAACAAAAGTAAGTAATAAAGGGTCCAAAAGCTGGATGTTTACGATATGATGAAGTGGAGGTGACCCCAAGAGGTATGGGGCTGTGTGTATTTGAAAGGATCCCGTAGCGGGAATATCTTCCAATTGTATTATCTCTCTACAGAGTGAGAGATAAAAGCACATCATCCCCACCTTACAGTCCTCCAGTGAATTTTCATTACATTTAAAGTAGACAGCAGGTGGGCATAGTGGTGTAGTTCTGTAATTCCAGCACTGGGAGGCTGAGGCAGGAGGACTGCCATCAGTTCAAGGCCAGCCTGGGCTACAGAGTGAGTTCAAGGCCAGTTTGAGACGGTGAGACACTGTCTCCACAAAACAAAGCAAGAAACCAAACTCCTTACCCTAACATACAAAGTCCTGCAAAATAAACACCTTCTTCCTAAAGCTCTTTCCAAGTCCCACAGCATGTTCCCCATTAGGGCATCCAGCCTTCCTCTCCGTTGGCCCAGGAATGAGAACTTCTTAGGGCACAGGACGTAAGTATTGAATGTCTTGCAAAACCTGCTGCTACATCCAAGAGAAGCTTACACCTTGGCTGTGGTGTCCAAGGTACTTTCCTCTTCCTACCACAGTATGGCTTGTGGTTTGAAGCACAATGTTTTGCAACAATTTCCTAAACATTTTCAGTTCCTAGTAAACCTGTGCTGCATGAAGTATGCATATTGGCCCAGCAGCTCCCCTGTCACCCACGAATCTGGAATCTTGAAATGGTGTATTGGAATGTGTGTGCTTGTATGCTCAAGCAGTAGGAGCCGGTGGGTGTGTAATGGGAGGCAAAGAACTACTGGATCACTTTTTTCAGACTAGGGTTTGAGCTCAGCATCTTTTCACTGAGCCACACCCCGCCCAGACCCAGCCCTTTCCTTAGTTTTGATTTTGAGACAGAAACTTCCTGGGCTCAACCTGTGAGCCTCCTGCCTCGGCTCCCTAGAGCACTGGTATTGCACATGTGTGCCACACCATGCCAAGCTTGTTTTATCTTTTAATGAAATCAAACAAAAGTTTCTTTTGTCTTTTAATATATCACCCAAATACTATAAAATATGACTTTTGATGGTTCGGGGGAAGAGATTATTGTGACTTTATAATAGGCTTCTGATAACAAAGATAGAAGTACCAAAAAAGTAAAATTTAATGATGCTTTAGAAACATTTAAGTTGGATATGATTGGTTAAGTCCTCTTCCCTGGTGATACTGAGACTGAGTATTAATTAGTTACTGAGATAGAAAACCTTTCCTTCATTTGAGCCACTTTTGAAGATGAGCAAGGTGTCAACTGTTCTAGGTCCCTGGAGATAAATCATCATTCATATTTTAGACAACAAAAGCATGATCCCAAAGAATACTAGGTAGCTTTACTCAAAGATCTCCTAGTTGGTTACAGTGTGAGTAACATTTATGTGTGCAAAGATATTTGTCATGTATTAATGCTGGCCATGAGGTAATGACCATCAAGTGAAGAAAGTAAATCCCAACTTTAAATAAAATCTTATACCCTAACTAGTTCATAGCTCACATTTTTGTCAAGTCGACATTTGTATACCACATGATAATGTTAACCTGGCACACTTTTAAGAAATTGGTATAATATCTCAGACCCAATGATGTCAATCTGATCATAATTTAGTTCACCAAAGACAGTAACAGGAAATTCGAAAATTAGTGGAATCCTGACAAATACCAGGTCAAATGATTCTGTGCTCTTTTACAACATGACAGTTTAATTTAAGAAACTGGCAATACTTTGAATGTAGTTATGCTACTGTCTTCCAAGGTAACTTCTCCAAATTATTTTATTTTGAGAGAATAACTTCCATATCCTTCCTATCCCTCCAGTAATCAGAGGTACAAATAGGACTTATCCAGCTGGGGTGATCCGCAAAATTTCATTTATATTCCATAATCACATGGTTGTCTGAACTTTAATGATTTTACTGTAAAGCTGGTGACTAATATTGAACTTGCACTGTAAGCCATTTTAATTACAAGTGGTGGACATCTAAGAACAATACATACATTTGTTATTTCAGAATTAAAATACTCTATTAGTAAGGATTGAATATGTAAGACTTAAGCTAAACCCACTCAAAGAGATCACTGCTTATTTTCCCAGTCGATTTTTGAATTAATTTTTAAAGGAAAAATAGGTGGTGCTGAAGGGCCTTTTGTCCATCATTTAGCCCAGGTGCTTGTTTTTCTTCAGATAATAAATACTGTGACTGCTGTCAATGGAAATGTCCCTAGAACAGAAATCTACTGACTCTTAGTTCAGTTTTCTCTCTTATGCACAACATTGAACTTGATCTTCTACCCCTTTTTTCTTGTTGGTCTACACATGATTTTTTAAAAATCAGTTTTATTGGTACATTTAATGTACACAATATAATGACAGTCATTGTTGGAAATTTGTGCCATTAATAATTAGTCCTGGTTCTTATCTTTCCCCATTCCCCTGCCCTGCCTTCAACCACATGATTCTTTTTTTTAACTTGTGATCTAAAATATGTCTCGCCAGGCACTTTACAAGCAACCCGTGCCTTGATGATAATCGGCATCTTGCTGGGACTGATCGCGATCTTTGTGTCCACCGTCGGGATGAAGTGTATGAAATGCTTGGAAGAGGACGAGGTGCAGAAGATGCGGATGGCTGTTATTGGGGGCGTGATATTCATTATTGCAGGTAAGAGAGGTCAGCTCCCTATCCCCTCACGCCTCCCCAACATGATTTGGAACCTCACATACAGTTTCCCCGGGTTATGCTGGATTCGTCACACTGGAAACCATTTTAGTCCCTCGCTAATCTGTAGACGTGGACCCTGTGGCCGGGTGACTTTCATGTTCTCAGCAGGAACCAAATGAAAACTTGACATTTGTCTAGTATGGCATGTGTGTTGTTTGTTAGAATCGGACTTCCCAGGGGCAGGGAGAGGTTGGCTATGGAGCCAACCCTCCTTAACAATTTTATATAATTCAAAAATTGCCTAAGGTGTCTCCACAGATATTATGTGGAGAAGATGAGGAGTAGTGAGAGAAAACATGAGTTGTGTGATCATACAAGGCTGTGAAAAATGGGTGGGCTAGGGCTATTTGAGAAAAATGCTGATAACAGTCCAGATGGGAGGATTGAATTCCATAATAAATAGGATACAAACACAGATTGGAGAGGAAAATAGCCAGTTGGAGTAGAGGTGAGATGCTGATATCCTAGGAAGTTTGATTAGATGAGCTAGGAAAGAAAACAATTCAGAAACACCTTGCACCAAAATCTTTTTAAAAAGAAGTTATATTTTCCATAGAAAATAAATACATATTTGATGCTTAATTCAGTTGTTGACAGACATGAAAGCTTTAAGAAAATGAAAGCTAGAAGATAGAAAACACCACTTCCAAGCTTTATAATAAGGCTTATTTTAAATAAAGCAAACAATATATTGCAAATATACTATACATATATATCAAAGACACTTATTATAAATGGCTATATCTCTACATATCAATGTACATACACTATATAGATTTAGCAACAGACTGCTACATATACTGTATATAGTAGTCTGTTTTCTTTTAAGAGGTAACAGTGATACAAATCTGTTACAACAACAGTAGAACTGGACCTTCTTTTTGTTTGTTCATGTTGATAGAAGACCTGTAGGGTCTTTAGCTCCACCTTAACATGTAGATTTAACATGTGGAAGGGAAGTGTGGGGGACTTGGTGAAAGATGTGGTTGAAGTGACCAGTCATTCAGTTTTTCTGACACAAGCTAGCATGAATGGTTTATTATTCCCAACAGTGTAATCTTACATCAAAGACTGTGAGTCAACTGGCTGCATAGCACTCTTGCTCTGCTACCTCCTGTGAAACCCAGAGGTTGGTACCACTCCCATCTAGTCTCAGGGACTTCCTGTGGAGTGCAGGCTTCAGAGCTTGTGCATGGTGTATTTGAGCAGCAATACACACACACACACACACACACACACACACACACACACACACACCCCTGAGCTCCTTTCCCTATCAGATCAGGAGTGGCATTAGATTCTCATAGGCATGGAAAGCCTACTGTGAACTGTGTACATGAGGGATCTAGGTTGTTTGCTTTTTATGAGAATCTAAAGCCTGATGACCAGAGGTGGAGCTGGGTTGGTGATAGTAGCATTGGGGAGGAGCTGCAAATACAGATGAACAGCACATAGATTTGAGTGCACAGAGACCATAATAAATCAGTTGCTTACAGACATATGAAAACCTTAGCAGTGAGTAGCAAGTGATAGTTAAGTTACACCTGGTGGCCAATTTTATATTGGTAACTGACATGATGTACTCCAATTATTTAGCACCTCTGCCTTCACTTCTTTCCATAGTAGACACTTATTTCAGTCATAGCTTTGGTAAAGCCACAAGCTTAACCCTGGACACATGGGATTGCTTTCTGTCAAGTATTGGGAGGAATTAGATTGGATCACTTTTTTGCGGGGGAATAGGATTAGCATGGAAATGAATCGACTCATATTGGTTAATTCTTAAAACTGCATGAAAAGAAGATATGTAGCTTCTTTAAAATCTATTTCTAATCAACAGATGAGTGTACATGTATTTACCATGTACAACATGATGCTTTAGAGTATATAGACATTATAGAATGAATAAATTAAGCCAATTACAGTGTATTTGACTTCACATTTATGTGGTAAGAATACTTTTATATCCATTTTCTCAACAGTTTTCAAAAATATAGCCACCATTTTGTGTGATAAATCTCTTGAATTTACTCCTGCTGCCTTACTGAAATTTTGTATCTTTTGACTAATAGTTCCTTTAGATAAGAAAATCAGGTATTTTATATTTCATAAAAATTATCAGATGGGTAGTTTTTACGAAGTGACTCCTCTGGAGTCACTGAATATAAAATGTGCTAGGAAAATGAGCTTTTGTTTGTTTTATCATTTGATCTTATGCTCCACCTTCACCAAATCACACCAATATCAAGTGTTGCCATGACCAGAGGAACAGTGAGAATTTCGATATTCTACCTATTCTGAGATAGGCCCTGTATTTCTGCTCTCTGGTTGCTTGTTTTGCACTTGACCCATCAAAAACACAAATATTGATTTTGGTCAGTAACGTAGGAGACTTTTCACCTTAGCTTTTGTAAGCAACTCTATACTAATAATTAAAACAGTTTTATCAAGTATATCAAACTACAGTACAATCCTACCTTTGAAGGACACCTTCAACAAGGTGAAACTACTGAATTATTTCAAAAGAGCATTATTTCTACCAGCAACACTGAACTAAAGGTAAATATGGTATCATAAATTGTATAAACTATGTCTGACTCCATCCTAATATTTTTATATCTCAACACAACACTTAGACTCAATCATATCTAAATCAAATCTGCTGTCCCTACTAGTGAAATAAAAATGTCAGCACTATTGATGAGATTTCATTCTCACAAAATATATTCAGGCTTAATAGGTTGTATTTTTCTGTCCAGTGTTCTGCAGTGATTAACCGTCTTTTGTTCTGCATTTCTGCAGGTCTGGCTATTTTGATTGCCACAGCATGGTACGGCAATAGAATTGTTCAAGAATTTTATGACCCCATGACCCCCGTCAATGCCAGGTAATGCTATTCAGGCATAAAATAGTTTATTCTCTGAGAAAATACCTTTTATGTTCAGCAAAGTCTTGCTAGTGCCATAGTTCCTCAGATTTGCTTTCAAGAACTATATGGAATTTTGTGTCATACTTGCATACAATTTAAATGACCTGTGACTCATGTTAAAACGAGTCTGATAATTGCTTTAATAGCCTGTATTGATGACAAAACATACTTCAAAGTAAAGTTCTAAACAGTCTACTTCCCAACTGCATGCTGTATCTTTTTTTGTTTTTCCCCTAAATATGAGCAAACCTTAATAAGTTTGAAATTTTCTTTTTAAAGTGCATTCTGATGCCTCCAGCATCTCATTATTTATAATAATGTAGTTCAGGGCTGATTAAAAAAGAATAGCCCTCACAGAGTGGTGGATAAATAATACTTCACCCTTAACAGTTAAATTCACATGTGCAACTACAATGCATCTTTACTAGGACATTGAGATACCACTCTAAACTTTTATGTTCCATCACAGCCATAAAATTAACTTTACAAAGGTCATCCTTCTTAATATTACAAGTCCTGCGAGTTAAAGAGCTGATTCTTGGCTCTCATGTAACAACGCTCTTTGATCAAGGACTGTACTTCGTGTCTTACTGCCGTCACATCTTTAAAGTTTAATGACTGCATTCAGAGTCAGGATGCTAAAATGTAATTATTGTTTGTCAGTGCTGAGATGAATGAAAAATCTCAGTGTTTGCAAAGATAAGATGAGCTTCTTTTTAGTCACCCACATACAAAAGAACACAAGCCACAGAGATTTTTGTTGGAGCTCATCCCATAAGATTTACAGTGCAGGGTAAGAAACTGCTGGAGGTCAATAGGCCAAAATTCTACCAGTATGAATCAAGATACATACCCTGGCCTTCTAGGTCCAGCCTTTTATTCTGCATATGTTCCACAGTCAGCCACAGATACCTCACAGCAAACCTGGCATACTACTACTCCCTGCATCAGCTTGATGCAAAGTGTGCACTGGATGCTCAACAATCTTTGTTATATTAAAAAAAAAAAAATTTTGTTTTTGTTTTGGTTACTGTAGATACCAGAGATCAATTATTGAGAACTTGTAGTCTCCATCACATGGCGAATTTTGCTTGTAGAATTCAATGGTTGCGTGATGATAGTGTGACTCCATAGGCTTCAGTCTGGGAACTATTGTCCAATCCCCACTGGTAAAATATGTAAATGTGCTTCACAAGCCTGTATTGCATGGAAAAGTCTTGGGAAATCAGTGTGCAATTAAGCTGATATTGCATGTCACGTTGCAAATTGTCAATAATTACACTTTAAATATTCTTGTGTGCTTGTGCTTACACACCATGAACTATACTCCCGAGGGATTATGGGTGGGGGCACTATTTTCAGTGGGAAAACCCTTCATAGTAATATGTGATATAGATTTCCTTTCTCAATTATATCTTAAAAATTGTCAGTCATTGCCTAATGAAGGCATTGTCTTCCTCTCTTAGGTATGAGTTTGGTCAGGCTCTCTTCACCGGTTGGGCTGCTGCCTCTCTCTGCCTTCTGGGAGGTGCCCTACTTTGCTGCTGCTGTCCCCAAAAGGCAACCTCTTACCCAACACCAAGGCCTTATCCAAAAACTGCACCCTCCACTGGGAAAGACTATGTGTGATGGAGGCGGAAGGAGACCATCCTTTTGGAGCAAACAGAAAATGGACTTTGAAATGTCATCGTTGACCTGAGATCGTAGACTTTTCCTTGTAATCTGAACTGCGGTATTACAAAAGAAACCATATTTTTATAAATACCATTTGCTAGAAGTAGCCTAGTCTTATTTTCCCTTCTTTCCTCAGTATAAGAGGGAAGCCCTTCCGTTTGTATCACTGCTTCCCCCTGAGTAATCATACTCAAATGGGAGGAAAGAATGCTCCTGGAATATGTATAGATATGTATATACACAGGTTTTTCTATAACAATTTAGGATAAACCTCATTCTTACTATGTTGATATCTCTAAAATAGAAAATATATATCTAATTTCCTTTTGGTTAAGAAGTTTATTGGTATATTTTTTTCTTTTCTCTCTACACATATACAGTAGATCAAATATCATTTAATCCCCTTCTAAGATTTCATGTCTTTGTCATAAGACCAACATTATTTTTACCAGGTACTCATTCTTTCTGTTCTTCATGTGTAACCTTTTTGTATGCTAATTTTATTATTTTACTTTTCTGCCACAATCTCATAGCTCTTGCTTGTTCATGAGGTCCAATTTTTTATTTCTTAATAATGCACGTCATAGCCTACATTTTAAGACAAAAAGCCAGTAAGACTGTCTTAAAAACTCACTGTGGTGACAGAGCATCTTTTTCCATGACCTGATGATATTTTCCTGCTAACCTTTTCACATACACCCTGTACTTTGGTCTCAAGCACTCTTATTTGCTTTGAAAAGATTTGTTTCTTTGAATAGCTGTGCCACTCACTCAGAATATTGTGACACAGTTTTATTGATTGAATTTTTAAAGGTACTTATACACAGTTCCATATCCCTCTCCCACAAAAGCTATGTAGTTCTTTGTCTGTTTTTGGCTATTTTTTTTTCTCATATAGAAGTGTCATATAGTTTACCTTGTCCCAGTGAGGTGTGGTCCGTTTATCTAAACAGCATGCTAGACTTGCTGGAGTGATAGGCTGGTGACGAATACGCTCTCAGTAGCTATGATGGAGTCACTCAATCTTTCTACCTCTTTTCCCATCTGTTAAATTGAGATAATTAGGCTTAACCAGCTGGCAGAAGTAATGTAAGTATTAATTAGTTGATGTGACTCTCATTCCTTTAATATGAACTATACCTAAGTAGTGTTTCTCTTTACTCAGTTGGCAGTTTTGAAGTAACAGAATAAAACCTAAACACATGTCTTCACATTGTCCAGTATCCTTGTCTTTCAGCGGTCCCTTGCCTTTCTGGTAGCTATGCCTAGCACGCTGTCAGCACTCAGTACCATTTTCATAACTGCTCCTTCTCTCCCAGTCTGTAGAAGATGCTATTTCATTTAAGCAAGATGATGTAATAAGAAGGGTGTTGGCTCTGATGTCTGGAGCACTGAATTTGAATCCTGGTGCTATCAATTATTCTGCAGTTGGGCAAGGCACTTGGCTGCCCTAGATATATTGCTTCATCTGTGAAAAAAAAAAATTGTAATCCCAGACCTGCCTGTGTCACAGGGATGTTATCGGGATCCAGGGATCCAGTGAGATAGGTAGCATATGTGCACATGCAGCTTTGTGAAGTAAAATATGCTGCACTAGGGCAAAGGAATTAAGGAAATTGTCTGACTTTTCAAATGACTGAAAAGAAATTAGATTTCAAAATGGGGTTTCCTGTGTTAACCACCTTCCCAAGAGGCGGGACACTAAAGTGAAATTCAGTTCTCTAAATCAAAGGGATTGTGAGGAAGTTCCAGTTCTTTCCATGGGTATGGGCTGATGTTTTTGCAGCTAAGTACAGGTAATTGAGTAAGTGAAAGCCCAAATGTTGGCGGGGCTAATAATGTGGGAGAGCTTTTGTAGTATAGCCCATAAGGGGCTAAAAGGTGCTACTTGTTAAGTGTTAGCTTCTGTGTAGTTGCAGTTAGAGGTTACCCAACACTGCTGGGATGATCGGGGGATGGTGCTTCATGGTAAAACGGCATGGGCAAAATTACGCAAAAGGCTGTGTCTTGAAAATTTGGAGCAGGTTATGTTTTCTGTGTTCTAAGCCTGACAGTATGCTTCTAAAAGTTGCCATTCAAAGAGCCTTTTCCACATATATAGATCCTGACGATGTGCAAGTGTAAACTCAAAACTAATCTTTAGTCAAAAATAATCCAATGGAATTTTTATGCCAAAATGTATCTAATATTTTGATATTTATATAGCTTACTACTGTACCTTGAAATGAATGGACCGGTAAATATTGGGGGAGAGGGGAAATAGGAATTTGTATAAAGCATTACTCTTTTTCAATAAAAAAAATTTTTTAATAAAAGTATCCATGGTTTGCTTCCTCACCACTTATTTCAAGATTTTTATGCTTGCAAAGGTTGTTTGAGATAAACCTGATTCACTTTCTTCCCAGGAAAAAGTTGTGATGCCTCCAAACCCCAAATATCTATGAAATATTTGTATGCCTCTCCTTAATAGGATGCTCCCTCTCTCTCATACTGAGCTCCTCTCGGGGCTGGTCATGAAGAAACACTAGGAAATAGTGAAGAATTCGGTAATCCATGGACCTACTGCACATAACAAATGAATGAAGAGTAAAAGTCTGCTAGCAGGCTAGAACTCCAAGGTTGTTTTTGTAGTGAGTGTCTTCATGATTACTTCTCAGGACAGCGGGTGATGAAAATCATGTACTCATTTTCTTAGCAAAGGCAGTGACAGATTATCTCAAGAATGGCCTCTCCCTGGGCAATTTCCATATTAATAAGACAAAGCCTATGCAGCAAAAGATGACAGCTTTACTGTTGAGTTGGAAGCATTGCGAGAGGGGAGGAAGCTAGACCACTGCCTTTAAATTACACAGACACAGCAGAGTCGGATGCATTTCTGAAAATTTAGGTGTCTAACGGTGAAGTTGAGGCCCACAAAACTTAAGGAAGTAAGGGGCCAGGGACCAGGGATTTGGCTCAGGGGTGATGCCCCCTGCTTTGCAAGTGTAAGGACCTGGGTTCCATCCCCGATACCCCCTCCCAAATAATAACAATAAAAAAAAACTTAAGGAAATAAAATTTATAGGTGCTCCTAAGAAGAACTGGAGGGGAAGCTGGACTGTGAATCACACCAAGAAGGCACCCTGAGGGAGCTCACCTGAACCTGAGTGGCCTCGTTCTGCAGGCACTGCCATTGCTCTTTCCTCTCATTTAGTGCTTTCTATCCAGATTCAGGGAAAACTACACCCGCTCCACGTTTTTAAGCGGTGGATCCTACCATGATCTGGTGGATGTTTCCTCTTCTCCTTTTGTTTTTTCTTTGCACGTAACTCAGGAGAACAATTTGTGCTTTGTCTTCCTCCGCACTCTAGATAGTCCCTGTTTACCCCTAGAGTGACTTAAAACGTCTCATTACTGATCTGTAGAAACTGATAGAACTCATGGCTGTCCCTGGGTGAGGAGGGCCAGCTTGTTGAGTCTAAAACAGGAAGAAACCTCTGCATGCTGAACCTCTGCAGATTTTAATGCATCGTGAGTACTTGGCTTCTATTGATAGGTTTTTCTGAAATGGCCAATATTGGCCATTGGAAATTAGATAAAAATTTCTTAAATTAATATCTGATGGATATTAGTACAAGCACTATGGAAGTCAGCATGGAGATTCCTCAAAAAAACTGAAACCAGAGGTTCCATTGGACACAGTTACTCCCCTTCTTGGTATCTTCCCAAAATAATTACAAGCATCATATCACAGCAATGTACGCACACCCGTGTTTATAGTAGCACACTTTATAATAGCTAAATCTTGGAAACCCAGCCCATATGCCCATCGCAGATGAGTGGATAAAGAAAATGTGGTATTTATATACAATGGAGTACTATTCTGCCAGAAAGAAGGACAAACGAGACATTTTTAGGTAAGTTTAAGTGAAATAAACTTAACTGAAATAAGTCAGACACACAAATTTAAATAGCACATTGCTTTTCTGGTGTGAGAAACTTGAAGGGTAAATCAGGATCAAAATAGAGGCTACGTATTGAGAAGTAGGAAGAACTTGTTCAAATGAGAAGGGGAACAAAGGAGAAGGGGGAAGGGGAAAAAGATTTTTTCAAAAGGAGAGAATTGAAGGAAAAAATAGAAATAGAGCTTTTGGGAATCAGAGGGGAAGTAGGGTTAAAGGGAGGGGAGGGGGTGGGAAAAATTAAGATATATCATATCCAGGTACACACTCTCCATGGTAAGTGTGATCCTTGTACTAATGAAAATGTCTTTGTCAGCTAAGTTTCCTGTTTCTATTAATACTGTGCTTCTCCCAACTACCTGCTGCCACTGCTTGACTCTAAGAAATCCAGCAGGCCCTAAGTAACTTGAGTGAAGAGGCTTTGGATCAAAGGTGACAGGGATCACAGAGGGTCTCCAGAAGATGAAACACCAGAATGGTAAACGAGCTCCAATTCAGCAAGGACAGAGATTCTTTTAATGTTGAATGCTAATTTTTACCACAAAATGAACATTTCTTACAATAAAATCAAGACATTGTAATAAAGTAGAAAAATACAAATTATTTGAAACATTGTTTAAACATTGACCATATTAAATCAATGCAGAACTTTCAGTAATTTGATCTGATCTGCTTGTCTTTTATTATTCCCTGAAGACGACAGGCTTTGGAGTTTAACCTTTTTCTTTTTAAATACAGAATCCAATTGAAAAAATAATTTTGATTTCTACTTTATTTTTTCATGCAAGTATATGATAATACAATCATTACCAAACAGACTTCATGAATACCCACTCATTCAGATAATAGTTTTAAGAATCTAATACTTGTTAGATATTTCATGGTAGAAATGGTAGCCCTGGATTTCTATAATACTCATGAAGCAAACTGACAAAGATCCCTCTCCTACTGTAGGACAAGGCACTATAGCTTGGGAATAAAGGTACATAAAATATGCAAAGGTAAGCAATATATGCAAAATATGTAGTATTTTGATCAATGTGTAGCGTATCATGTATGTAGAAACTGAACTAAACAAGAAATATTAGGAAAATCGAGGAGGGTAGCAAATTTAAATCATGTGACAGCAAGATTTCTCAATTAGAAAAATATGTTTATGAATTAATTTAAAGGAGATGAAGAAGTAACTCAAGTGGTTCTCTGGCTGGAAACAATATTCCAGAAATGGCAGTTGTGAATGCCTGAACACAGATTCATGTATAAAATGGTCATGATATAGCTGGGGCATGGTGGCACATGCTGTAATCCCAGCACGTATGAGGCTGAGTCAGGATGATCCCAACAAGTCTAAGGCCAGCCTGGGGCTAGGTAGCAAATTTAAATTTGGTTTGAACTGTATAGTGAGACCCTATCTCAAAATCTAAAGCAAAAAATTTCCTGAAACAGTGAAGAGATCATGCAGCCTAGTGCATTGAGCCACAAACATGGTACTAGGAGAAGAAAAGATAAAGGGAAAGGTGATCTAAAATATGCAGGGTGTGTTAAACCATTGCAAGGGCTTTATCTTTTACTTCTTGTAAAAAGGAAACACGTTAGGTTTTGAGCAAAAAGCTACAAGTTCTAAATTAAGTTGTTATAAGATCATTCTTATTATAATAATGCAGGTGCATGGTGGCTTGCTGTTAGTGTTCTGGAAGAGCAAGATTGAACAACAGAGATTCATCACCTTCTGTGGCAGATTTGAACTCTTTATTGTAGGCAGCAGCTGACGGGGACCAGCGCCCAGCAGTTTCATCTGCAGTGGGAAACGGTTTGA